TGCCCAAACCACTGAGAATCCCGGCCGAGCCAAGTTGACACAGAACTTAACCATACCGTGTGTGTGTGTGTGTGTGTGTGTGTGTGTGTGTGTGTGTTTACATTTATATAAGTAATTATTGGTGGAAAATTATATGAAATTAAGTATCAGTATCCTTCAGTGATTATTGAAACACAGGCATGCATCATTGTTTATGTATTCTATGTGATTGCTTTTGTGCTGCAGCAATAACTGTGCTGTCTAACTGTGCATTACCCGTAGTAGCTTAGATATTTCCTATCTGCTCCTTTATAGAAAAATGTGCTGACCCTCCTTCTATACTAGACTTCAGATTTCATCCCTTGCTAATTTGATCAGTACACGGCATCACTGTTCACCGGGTGGCTGAGGCTCAACTCTACCCTTGCACCTACGTGCCATGTTCAATATATAAACAATTCAGCTCTTCTGTGACTTCTCTGCTGACCATCTTTTGTCTGAATTCTCAGTTAGCCTCTCTGCTGGTTTCTTGGTTACTGCTCTTATTCTTTCAATTGATAGAGTAGCCAGGATGACCTTATTAAATTTTCAGACATATCATGTTACTCCTCTCCTTAGATCCCTCCAATGGTTCCTCTTTTCACTCAGAATAACTCCCCCTAATGTCCTTTGTGGACCATAACAAACTACAGATAGCCTTTAGAAGAATGGGAGTTCTAGAACACTTCATTTCGCTCAGGCAGAACCTGTGCATGGATCAAGGGAATCATAGATCAATACAGGACAAGGGAATACTGCCTGGTTTAAAACCAGGAAAAGTGTGCATCTGAGTTATATAGTCTCGCCATATTTATTCAGTCTGTATGCTGAGCAAATCATCATAGAAGCTGGATTATATGAAGAAGAGTGTGGAGTCGATTGGAAGAAGGATTATGAACACCGTGTGATATACAGATGATACAATCTTGCTTGCTGAAAGTCAGGAGGACTTGAAGCACTTGCTGATGAAGATCAAGGATTGTAGCCTTCAACTCAATTTAAAAGAAAGCCAAAATTCTCACAACTGGACCAATGAATACCATCATGATAAACAGTAAAAAAATTGAAGTTGTCCAGGATTGCATGTTGTTTGGATCCATCAGTGCTCATGGAAACAGCAGCCAGGAAGTCAAACAACACTCTGTGTTGGGTAAATCTGTTGCACAAGACCTCTTTAAAGTGCTGAAAAGCGAGAAGGTTACTTTGCGGTAGAAGGTGAACCAGGCCTAAGCCATGATCTTTTCTTTTTTTTTTTTTTAAATCATTTTATTGGGGGCTTTTACAACTCTTATCACAATCCATATAGACACCCATTGTGTCAAGCACATTTGTACATTTGTTGCCCTCATCATTCTCAAAACATTTGCTTTCTACTTGAGCCCTTGGTATCAGTTCATTTTTCCCCTCCCTCCCTGTTTCCTCCTTCTTCATGAACCCTTGATAATTTATAAGTTATTATGATTTATCATATCTTACACTGCCCAACGTTTCCCTTCACTCACTTTTCTGTTGTCCATCCCCCAGGGAGGAGGTTATATGTAGATCCTTGTAATCAGTGCCTCCTTTCCACCCCCGTTATCGCCACTCTCACTACTGGTCCTGAAGGGATCATCTGTCCTGGATTCCCTGTGTTTCCAGTGTACATCCTCTGGTCTAGCCAGATTTGTAAGGCAGAATTGGGATCATGATAGTGGAGGTGAGGGGTGGAGAGGAAGCATTTAAAAACTAGAGGAAAGTTGTGTGTTTCATCGATGCTACACTTCAAGCCATGATATATTTAAGTGCCTCATACATATGCAAGTTAGATCTTGAATACGGAAGTCCAAAGAATTGATGCATTTGAATTGCAGTGCTGGTGAGGCATCATGGGCCAGCAAAAGAATAAACGAATCTGTCTTGGAAAAAGTACAGTCAGCATGCTCCTTAGAAGTAAGAATGGCAAGACTTCTGTCTCAAGGACTGTGGGCATTTTATCGGGAGACCAGTCCCCGGAGAAGGATATCGTGTTTGGTGAAGTCGAGGGGCAGTGAAACAGAAGAAGGCCCTTGGCACGATGAAGCGCACAGTGCTTGCCATGATGGGCCCAGACTTAAGGGCAATTCTGAGGATGGCTCAGGACTGGGCATGGATTTGTTCTTTGTACAGAGGGTCACGAAGAATTGAGTTGGTCAGGAGTGGATTAGGATAGACTGGTGGGGAGGTCATGTTCATGGGCACGGATACCATTTAAAATGATGTCTACAGGTAATGTAGAAAAGAAATTGACCCTCAGGTGTCAAGTCTTTTTTGAGCATGAGGAAATGAGTGGTAAATTGGTAGATGATGACCATCAGAAAGAATGATATAACCAGAGCACATGAGTTTTAAAGGACGTGAGTTCGCAACTGTAAAAGGAGAAAGTTAGAGCAAGTGATCAAGCCATTAACATCATTTTAAAATTCTAAGCTCATGTGAGGGGATAAAAAAATCCAAAAACAAAAGGAAACAACCACCAAAAAAATCCCACTGCAATCTAGTTGATTCAGAGACTTAACAACCCTAACCCAAACCGAACCGACTGCCATGAGCTGATTCCTATGCCGAGTTCCTGAGCCAATACATCTGTAGGGGAGCAGACAGCCTGACCCTTCTCTAGAAGATTTCTGGGGGGTTGGCAGTTCAAGGTTAACTGGACATCACAACCCAAGCAACCCTATCAAAAACCAAGCTCATGCCTTCAAGTCGAGTCCTG